AGTATTTAGTGACATATTCATGTGACATAGGTTCAACCGCTTTGTTTTTGTGTCAAAACTTATTCTTCTACTTCGTAAATATTCTTGTAACTTCGATTTAATACACGCAACTTGGGGAAATTGTTCTGTTAAAAAACTGTGGATGAAGCATTACCTATGGTGATAAGCATTGGTATTGACTTATCACAAAGCCATTTTATTAAAAATTCGTTTTCCATTTATGTCATAGTTTAGCGAATTAAACCGTAAGTAAATAGTTTGTAAGATTTTTAGATTTAAATTGTAGGTTAGTCAGTAATGACTAGTAACAATACTCTAACAAAAAAAAATCCTTAGAAAATAAAATTTGGTCTGATATTTCTTCTGATATTTCTTCTGATATTTCTTCTGATATTTCTTCTGATATTTCTTCTGATATTTCTTCTGATATTTCTTCTGATATTTCTTCTGATATTTCTTCTGATATTTCTTCTGATATTTCTTCTGATATTTCTTCTGATATTTCTTCTGATATTTCTTCTGATATTTCTTCTGATATTTCTTCTGATATTTCTTCTGATATTTCTTCTGATATTTCTTCTGATATTTCTTCTGATATTTCTTCTGATATTTCTTCTGATATTTCTTCTGATATTTCTTCTGATATTTCTTCTGATATTTCTACTGATATTTCTTCTGATATTTCTTCTGATATTTCTTCTGATATTTCTTCTGATATTTCTTCTGATATTTCTTCTGATATTTCTTCTGATATTTTTTCTGATATTTCTACTGATATTTATTCTGATATTTCTTCTGATGTTTCTTCTGATATTTCTTCTGATATTTCCTCTGATATTTCTTCTGATATTTCTTCTGATATTTCTTTTGATATTTCTTCTGATATTTCTTCCTTAGAAGAAAAGGTATCTTTGATATGATCTCTATGAAAACTGAAATGACTGCTGATATTTCTTCTTTAAATGAAGAGGTGTTTCTTGAAATGCCTTTTATTAAAATTAAGATCTCCTCTAATATGTCTAAAAATTTAATTTCTGCTGATATGGAAAGTAAGATGACTTCCGTTGAGAATAAAATAATGTCTTCTATTGAGAAGAAAATTAAAGAGATGGAAAAGTTGAAATTGGAAGGAGTTGTAAATTCTGCTCGTCTTAAAACTTCAAATTTCGACGGGAAGATGTCATAGACCAACTACCTTAAACAGTTCGAAACAGCTGCCAGAGCAAACGAATGGTCTGAAAGAGAAAAGGCAGTAAATTTGACAATCGTCCTTCATGGAGACGCTTTAGAATTTCTTCAAACTATACCTGTGGAAGAGACTGATGACTTTGAGCAACTTAAAAAGAGACTAAACATGCGATATGGCTACGATTACTTGGAACAGATGTACCAGTTACAGTTAAAGAGTCGCAAACAGAAACGTGACGAGAGGCCTTCAAGAATACGAATTAGATATTGCGAAGATGATACCATCTGCCTACTCATCAGCTCTGGAATACATGATTTAATGTTTTGCTGTTCAAGCATTTGTTGATGGACTTAGTGATCATAAAATAAAATGAACACTCCGTTACATAACAGTGGCCAATGTCTCGTCCGCTGCTTTAGAATATAAAGCGGCTACGCTAGCTTCTGGTGGATACAGTAAAGCAAGGACTGTAAACGAGGAAGAACAGGGAAATACATTCGACCAATTGTTTATTATGATAAAAAGCCTTATTGAGAAGCAGCCGAAAACTATCAAGTGTTGCAATTGCGGTGAAATGGGAAATGTAAGCAGTTCGCGCAACGTCCTAGGAATACTACGAATCGAAAAACCGTACCGGCTGCTGTACAGGAAGGAACCTGATAGATGTGAAACCATAAAAGTAACGCGGTTACATGGAACTGTAGAAAAAAGAACGCCTGTCTGGGTGGAACCTTTGAAGCGCAATAAAGGTGCTGGTCGAAAAACTGAGTGGAAACGGGTTGGCCAGATCTGCTAAAGAAGTATGTCAATGATGAGTGCGGCCCAGAGCTGGGTAATTCCTAGTTAAAAAGTAATTAATAATTACAATTACTTTTTTTTCCATGCAATTTGTAATTGTATTTAAGTACTTTTTTTAAAGTAATTTGGAATTGTAATTGCAGCAAAATCTGCAAAGGAATTGTACTTTGTAATTATTTAAATTGTCTAAATACAATTACTTGTCAGTACAACTACTTTTCCAATTACAATTACTTTTCTAATTACAATTACTTTTCTAATTACAATACTTTTTTCAATTACAATTACATTTATAAGTACAATTACATTTTTTAATTACAATTACTTTTAAATGCGTGTTTATGAGATGCATGTCATATAAAAACAAAAAATTCCTTGTTCGAACCGATCACTAGAGCTCGGACTCGCTTCCATATCATGTTTGAATGCATTTGAGGAAAGCATTGTGCCGTGAAGCAGTGAAATTGTTCAACCCAAAATAATAACAGTAGGGGACAAGTAGATGCAGATATCCTTATTTCTAAGACGTATTTTGTATTTATATTATTATAAACATAAATTATATTGCATAAACATAAACTAAGGAAATATAGTATGAAGTGGTGCAAATAGCAGTTTTTATAGGGTAAATACTAAAAACTAGTTATTTACGTTGCGTAGGTATTTCTAGTTGTTATTCTAGTTTTCTACATTGAAATGTGGGCGTAGAAAAAACATATTTTTCTGCACCTACAGGGATATTGGCTTATCTACGCACAGATTTTATATCTATTCTAAGTAGTGAAAACACTGCAAAAAAAATGAAGTCCGCCAATCACAGTTCATATTTTGGATACCAAACCACTATTATTTTTAAAATTTTAAATAAGTGACAATTATTCTGTCAAACTAATTGTCAGTATATTTTTTAGTTATTGAGATTAAGTATACACTAAATGACTTATTTTTGTTTAGAATCGATAAATAATAACATTTTTATTTTTATTTGGGCCACAATTTGAAAAAAAATTTAATTTTAATCAAACTATATGAAACTAGTTTAATTACTAGTATTAAAACCAAAATCATAAAGGTGGCGGTGGAGCTGAGGACAGAGCATCTGCCTTCCATGCCAATAGCCCGGATTCAAATCTGGACAAGGGACTAATTTTCTTTTGTTTATTTTATTTTATGAATTAGTAAAAAACATAAATTATTTTAAAATTAGTTATTTTGTCTTAACCTAAAATATTATATTTTCGTTAGTTGGTCGTAGAAAAAATATACTGTACAACTCTATATCCACTCTTGTTGCTTAAACTACTATTTCAGTTTTGGTATAATTTGTCAATAACAATAACACATTATACATGATAATTTATCACGCCTCTGACGTTTATAGCGAATCGATAAAGTTTTAAAATGGCTCCGATTTTTTAAGTATATATGATGAGGAAAGTCACCTTCTTAAAATTATTTTAAAACATATACTTAGTATGTCCCAAAAAATGTGACGTATCAAAGTTTTTTGGCACACCCTGTATTTTATTACAATTTTATATTCTCCCAAAATAACTAATTTGATTGATCTATCAGACTTGATTTGTTAAGAAATAGAGATTTTTGAATTTTGAATTTTTTTCTGTCAAAACTATTAATAATTGATCAAAATGGCTAACTTATTCCTTCGTATCCTATTTCTTTTATTTACAACCTCATAATATTTAATTAAAACAAAACAAAAATTCAGATTACACTTTTGTATTTTTGTTGAAAATCAATAAACTTTTAGAAGTTCACATTTTATTATTTACTTACCTGTTTCATTTTTTTATACTTCATATCGAGTTTGTCTTTCCCCTTAAGTTAAGAAGACCTTAAATGGTACAAAAAACAATACACTTAGGGCTGGTTGCATAAAGCTTACTTAAAATTAAGCACAGTTTTAGGTGATACATGTCAATTTTCGATGCTATATGTGCAGTCTAATGTTTGGGGAAACAAGCCCTACGTGCTAAATGGTGTTTAGACTGTACCTATGTCATACATGTGTCATCTCAAGCCGAGTTTAACTTTATGTAAGATTTATACAACCCGCCCTTAAGATATCTTTAACTTTAAGGAATCCTTAAGAAAGTCGTTGCAAACGGCAGTTAATTTGACACTTTGAATTACCTGTTTAAACATTTTATTTGTACCGGTCTGGTTGGTTCATGGTTCCTTAATTCTATCATAATTTGATGTTTTATCGCAAAGTAATTAGAAAAGTAATTATAAAAGTAATTACTAATTCCTTTTTTCATGTCAATGTAATTTCGTTACCCTAATTAGCAAACCTCGTAACTCCACTTATTGCCAAATAAATATTAATAAAAACTATTAACTCACAAAAAAAGTCCTTATAATACAAAATGGTTTTATTCTTTAACAATGTTAAAAATCAATGAAAAAAATTAATTTGTCGTATTTTTAAAGATTTTTAAACGTACATAAAATTACGAGGTTTGCTAATTAGGGTTACGATTTGTATTTTTACAACATGTACTTTGTACTTGTAATTAATTCCTTTTTTGAAAAAGTACTTTGTGATTGTAATTATTTTTAAAGTACATGTAATTACCCAGCTCTGGTGGGGCCCTACCAAAACAGGGAAGAACAAGAAAACGATCCCGTTACTTTAACGTGTTTAATGTTGACATAAAGTATTTTTCTGATTTTTTAATGCAATTTTCATTTTGTTTCGCTTGTATATTTTTTCGTCGATTGTAAGTTTTAAAATATTTCCAAAATTTTTGTAGGAACTAAATTAATACAAAGGCGCTAATATTGCCTATCGTTCCTTTAAATAATTTTAGCCATGCAGTAGTTTTTAGTTTTTGCTTTTGCCGATTGTCCAGTAAAAAGACCAGTTAGTTTCAATAAGTCTTATTAGATTACATAATTTTAGAATTTAGAATCCTAATTCGTTGAAGAATTAAATAATTTCTTTTTGAATGTTAACTTGTTATTTATTATTCCTCACTGAAATGTCGAAGTCCAACTATTATCGGAAATATCCAGGGTATTATAAAAATAATAATATTGTTTATATAATGAATAATATAAAATAAATGTAATTAGTAATTGTTGATTTAACGACAAAACAAGTCAAGAAATGGTGTGTAATGTGTCTTTATATTTTTGTGTTTAAAAATTGTACAGGTTAGATTTACGTTTTACCTATCATTTTTATTATTTATTCTACAATAATTACTACTAGATACTATTTTGGGAATTATATAGGATGATTCAAAATTAATTACCGCAAATATTAAAGAATCGTATCATTATTTTCTGTTTCTGTACATTATTCTTTCATTTATGTATACAAAGTGAGTCGCGTAGAAGGTTCAACTTCCACTATCTTCGTTAGTAATTGAAATATAGTGAAGACATAAGTGGATAAAGGTGTGATTTCACAAAAATATTACTTGGAGAAAAACAAGTTTAAAGTTTTACAATTGCATTATGATATATGGCTCATGATACCTTCCTAACTGATGAATAGCCCTTATTTATCAAAATTGGAACTCAGAACTATCACAAACAAAAAAATATAGCATATTTTAGGTAGGTATATTAGGCCATCAAAATTATTTTTTCAAAAAATGTAACAGGACACCTTTATTTAGGTGTGTCTTCAATTGTTATTAGTTTTTATTTTTTAGTTTGAAAACATTTAAGAATTCAGTACCTTCCAGTTTTTCCGGAATAACAGTATATCGCCATTTATTTTTAATTGAAAAGAACCATTTTTTTGATTAGAATTGCTTTTTTTTTTATTAATTTATTGTCCTGCATTTTATTCAAAAGTTTTTGTACGATATTAAAACGGTAGGCATATTAATTATAAATTATTTTTCCATAGACCCATAATATTATCTAAGGTTGTATCACTCACAATGTAATAATCTATAACTTTAGTTGTTTAATAATCGACAATCGTATATCATGTACTTGACTTATATAGCTGATAATAATTCATAGACCTTTAAGAATTCTTGGACCTTTAAGGCTATGAGGATCTAGTAGACATGCAGAGAAGCATGTCATGCTTTGACATTGCTTTTCTTATGTTACTGTAAATTATTGAGCTGTCATGTTCTATTAACTTGTGATATTATATTCTATTGAATACAACTTTTGGTAACAGGACTTGTTGTATTATACAGTGCGTTTAGATAGTGTGGAAACACTCCAATAGCTTACTAGTAAATTATTTTCGAAAGTAAAGTTCGGACAAGTTGATTTCTTTATTTTACTTTTTTTTTTTAAATTAACTTGCACCCCAATTTTATTATTTTTTTTGCAATAATCAATAAACATCATTTTTGAATTGTAGTAATGCCATGACGGCTGTAATCAGTGGTTTCAAAACTGGGTGGCGTGCCCGCCTTGGGAGCGCGAAGCAACATTAAGGGAGGCACGGGAGTGCCCTGAAGTATTAATACAAATTAAATTTTTAGCTTTAGGGCCAGTCACTCAGAGGTGAAAATCTCACTAAAGTTGAAAGTATCTATTTGCTGATTAAATTATAGGGCCATTGTTTGTTAATCTGTCAAGTAAAACTACATGTAACTTTACTCAGAGGTGAAAAGATCGGCCCTTAAAATAATAAAAAATTTAAATTAAAATAATAATGCAGCACGACCATTTGCATTAGATTAGACCAGTGATTCCAAATGTTAATTTTTTTAGATAAATAAGTTCTTCGTAGTAATAGTATATTATTCAACGAGCAGGTAATGATGGCTATTATTCACGAGGATGAAGTTTGCACTACAAGCCGTAGGCGAATAGTGTAATAATCCGACTAAGTAGTAGCCATTACCTGCGAGTAAAATTCTATACTTTTTCTATGATCATTAAATTAAATATTAGAAACGAGTTATGCAATATTTTATTTAATTTATTTGTTACCCTAAGGGAATAATCAATAATTCTATACCTCAGTGATGGGGAACAGGAAATTACTTTAATGTAAAAAATAGTAAGCTCTCAATATTAAGTATCCATATTTATTTTTAAAAAAATAGTATACTAGATATTAGTTTAAGACATTTCCTTAAAATTTAATAATAAATATACCTACACACAACCAAATTTATTAGAAGTTGAAAGAATTAACTTCAAAATTATTGTTTTTAAATTATTTATCACCCTGTATACAATAACACTATATATAGCCACTTCATAAAATACGTGTTAACATGGTTTTATAACGTTTTATTAAATATCTCGTAAACAATATTTTAAATGTAATTAATTAAGGAACAAAATAAAGAATGTCTTTAAAGTGCATAAGGCCTATCAGTTCATCGCGTTCGGCTGGTCGAAATTCAAGTCCCCGCTCTCCTGGTCCTTGACACTGCAACGGGCAGACGTGGTACGGTTGACCCCAGTGGCGGCGATATCCTAACTCGATGACTCTAACACGGCCAGACTGACAGGTGTTTCGTTCTCGAAACATGTATCCATTTCCACTGTGGTGTCTTCATTTTCTGTGGAAAAAGGTAAAACGTGACCTACATGCCAAGGTCCAATATATACTTTCATGACCCCAAGCATCAAGATATTGTAATCTTGAAAAACAAATCATAAATAAAATATTTCATGGGAACACCCCATCTTTCAATTTGTAATTTTCAAAAATAATTCATAAATAAAATATTTCATGAGAGTATGCTGACCCCATGCTTCAATTTATAATCCTAAAAAACAATTCATAAATAAAACATTTCATGGGAGTACCCTTTCAATTTGTAATTTTCAAATAAAATAATCCATGCGGGAGTATGCTAACCCCATTCTTCAATTTTTAATCCTGAAAAACAATCAATAAATATTTCATGGGAGTATGCTGACCCCATCTTTTGATTCGTAATCCTAAAAACAATTCTTAAGTAAAATATTTTATGGGAGTATCCCATCTTTCAAGTTGTAATCTTGAAAAATATTTAATAAATCAAATAATCCATGCGGGAGTATGCTGACCCCATTTTTTAATTTTTAATCCTAAAAACAATTCATAAATATTTCATGGGAGTATGCTGTCCCCATCCTTCAAGGCATATTATTCGCCCTTGAGACAAAACAAAACACATGGGAGTATGCTGACCCCATCTTTCAAGGCATAATATTCGCCCTTGAGACAAAACATGGGAGTATGCTGACCCCATCTTTCAAGGCATGTTATTTGCCCTTGAAACAAAAAAAAAATAACACTAAAGATGGATGTATGCTGACCCCACCTTTCAAGGCTTATTATTCGTCCTTAATACATAAAGAATAACATTAAAGATGAGTGAATGCTGACCCCACCTTTCGGCTTATTATTCGTCCTTAATACATGAAATATAACATTAAAGATGGGTGTATGCTGACCCCACCTATCAAGGCATTTTACTTCATCCTTGAGATATAAAACATAACATTAAACATGGAAGTATGCTGACTCCATGTTTCAAGGCTTATTATTTCATCCCTTCAACAATAAAAATCAAAACAGTCAAAACAAAACATTTACTTTACCTTCAGTTTCAAAAAATTGATAAATTCTTTCAAATCAGTTACTAATGATCACCCGCTCGGCCAAAGCCTGACTTGTTTAACATTTTTCGGAGACGAAATTTTTGTCAACGTCTCTATTTTTTTCTACTCCGATCTACCATCTTCAGCGGAAATCTTCCATCCAAGAAAATACATTTTCGTTTGTGAAAACATTTTCAAATATTTAGGAAAAATCATGCTTTTTCTAGGGCTTCTAGAACTTTCTTAAAATAAATCAAACCCTGTGAAACAATGTTGCTAAAAGTCGACATGGCAATAAAATTATTAATTAAATTAATTTCCATAGCCCAGTCGTTTACTACAGAAACAGAAAAACTAGTAAACCACAAATTGTAGTAATTTTTTTTAATTTTTATATTAATAATCTGACATAATTGATCTCGATATTCTTCAAGTACTTTTAATTTATTTAAACTAATTCCAAAATCTACGGAAATTTTTAAAACATCCGGTAACTACTGTCGCTTCATAATACGTATCTACGTATCATTATAATCAGTTACATAAACATTAAACGTGTACCTAGACTGAGCTGGCTTGTCTGTAATTTTAACATCTGTTCCGAACTTATATTTTGAAATAAAGTCTCAAGTTATGCCCATAATACAAATTTCCTGTAAATTAACCCGGACTGTTCAATAAATGTTTCACACATCAAAGGGACACTTAAGCTCGGTATCAATAAACCCATATAGGTTGATTAATGTTTATTTCCATTGCTTGCTTTGCTCTGAAAAAACAAAATTAATTTTATGTGTTTTATCTTTGAATTTTTAAGAAAACAGTTTTCAGTTACGTGACCTGACTTAAATCAAAAAAACATTGTTTATTATTATTTTTTTTTCTGACTAGCTAAGGCACTATCGGCATCATTATGAATGGTTGACTCTTAAATTTTTATCTCGCTTAAAATTCTGAGAGTGTTAAATTTATTTGGAGGAACAATATTATTGTTTCTTACACATTATTATTATTTATTTTTTTTTTCTTTATATCCAAATACACATTTTGGGATAGTGCTTAAATATAAAATTAAATCACTAATTGAATTGAAATCTCTAATAGTAACGGATTCTTGTACATTTCATGAATCCCATAAACAATTAATTTAGTTAAAAAAATTAAACCTTCTGTACTCATATTAGCACGCGCATTTTCTACTAAAGTAACCTTTTTAATTTGAACATTAAAATGTATAAAAATTAGAGAGAGCTGTCAAAAGAAGAGGCTTCAAAAAGTAAACGTCCAACAATTTTTTGTGTGAAAATGATTCATAAAAATTCAAATTTAAAACTTTTCAATAAAGCAACCCTTTTTATGAACATAAGCTGCATAAGAACTAAAGAGTGAGCTGTCAAAATAAGAAACTACCATTTATTTTCTGTGTGAAAATGACTCTTAAAAGTTCGAATTTAAAATTAGACCAATCTCTTAATGTTGGAGACCAATTCTCAAACCATAATTTAGCATCACCCAATAAAAAGCGTGTTCAACTCTTACCAGTATCTGCAGGTCTTACCACTCAAATTTCTCTTTATCTTTTCGAACTGTTTTATCCAAACCTTAGAATTGTCGGTATCTGACCAAAATAAGAGCAAATAAACTTTTTCTGGAGTTGTTCTGCTGTTTTTGGAACTATGCAACATCTCTACGAATAAATCATCTTTGATACACTTTTAGACACTTCGTTTTAAATGTGAAAACGTGAACAGGATCCCACTTCTGATGTTAGAAGTTAAAAGAATTAACTTCAAAATTATTGTTTTTAAATTATTTGACACCCTCTATACAATAACACTATCTATAGCCACTTCATAAAACACGTGTTAACATGGTTTTATAACGTTTTATTAAATATCTCGTAAACTATGTTTGAAATGTAATTAATTAAGCAACAAAATAAAGAATGTCTTTAAAGGGCATAAGGCCTATCACTTCATCGCGTTCGGATGGTCGAAAGTCAAGTCCCCGCTCTCCTGGTCCTGTACACCGCAACGGGCAGACGTGGTACGGTCGACCCCAGTGGCGGCGATATCCTAATTCGCTGACTCTAACAATTACTAAAAAAACTGCAAAAAAATATTTTCTCATAAAACACTCATATTTCGTTTTTAGAAATACGATTCCATATAAATTTGTTTGTTTGTATTTCGGGTACTAGTATACTAGTAGGTATAATAATATTATTACCAATATAAATATAGAGTTACATATATAGGTACCTAAATGAATGAGGATAATTTCCTAACCGTAGTAGAATTGTATATAAATAAAAAGTTCACTGGTTTATTCGGTCATTTTTATTGTTTTTATAAAATTTAAGTCCAGGCACTACATATGTTTCGGAAACACTGTTCCATCTTCTGGTGCCAGTCAATCATGACTGATTTCTCATAAGAAAAGTACTTGTTCCAAACTTTCAAATCAAAAAGTTTATTCCAAAATCTCAATTAAGAAGAAAACTTAAAGCGTGGGGAATTTTTAAGTGGTTTACCAATAATAAAATTGGATGAATACGCCACTTGTGTAGTTTGGGTTATTTTCAATAGAAACTATAAGGTTTTCAAACACTTTTTAAAGGTCCGTCCCATTTATTCATCTTTAAATCAGTTAAAACTTTACAAATAATAGTTGAGAGAAAATTGTCAATAATAGCCTCTCATCCAAACGTTTTTAATGAAAAAATTGGGAAAATAAAATAACGATTTTCGTAAAAACAGGAAGTTACCCATGACGTAGCATAATAATGAATCTATTATAAGAAAGCACACTTCATGCAATATAAAAACCAATGCACGTCATCGATGACGTAATAAATTTTAGACCGTCACAGCTCCACACCGTTGCCAAATTTTGAAAATAATTGGGGAATCTTTGAAAGTTCCGACAATTGTAGATACAGAAAAGAAAATCAGCTGTAAATCGTTGTGATGTTAGCCAATAAGAAATACCAGTCATAGTATGTTCTATGTATAAGCATGAATTTATTAAGAACATCAGTTGAGTAAGGTTTTTAAAAAATAATATCAAAATTTGCTTTATGGGATTATATTAATATAGCATGTAGATGTAGAAGCATTATTATAATCTTGCAGTTGTTTTAACTGCCTGAACAATATTTGGGCATCAAAAAATGAAAACCTAAATATTTTTTGAAACATAACGACTTTTATTTTACAGTTTGTTAGTTATATACAATTCCTATACAAATAACTAAGTGAATATTAAACAAATAATAAAAGATAAACTAAATAATGCAATTATTATTACAGTACAGTACTGCAATCGTTTATATTATTGTGTGTATTTCACCCAATAACTCCAAATCACTAGCTAGATAGCTAGTTTGATGTTTTATGTAACAATGTACTGTGATTTAAAGCATTGTCCATCATTAAGTTTTTTCAGTAACTGTTCTTCAAACCATTTAAAAAAATTCTCATTATTCATTTCACCATGATAATCACTTAGCTTATTTTGTGACGCAAATACATATAGCCTCTGCTCCTTCAATGAACCCATTTTCATTTCCAGCATTGAGTATAATGTACATATAAATAAAAATTTCAATTGAAGCATGTAGCTATATTCTACTAATTATTTACGTATCTTTTACCATCAAATTTTGTGGTTTTCACACTTCTTTTATATTTATCTTGCAAAGAATGGTTTATAGTCCCATTTTAAATAATCCACGTCTCATCAATAAAAACAAACTGAAATAAACCTGTTTCCTTTTGTTTCATGTAAGTTCTTAAAAATTCAGCCCGTTTGACAGCAACATCGGAAAGTTCCATAAGCTCTCGCTTTAGATAATCTTTTTTCCATTTAATAAGGTGCATAATGACATGCGGCATCCATTAAACAATTCTTTTTCTTTTAATTTTTCTAATAAAGAATCCAAAGTTATGTGTTCATCTGCAAACAAATATAAGGTATTTATAATTAGATGATATAATATGCCGGTAACACCAATTAAAATAACTTCAGTTATACGGAATGATTAAGTAAAATGAAATACGCCAGTTTAGTGTGATGTCATTTTGGTTCCATTGACATTTAATTCTAACCAAACTGTTATTAAAAACATCAATAAATTTGACATATACGTTTTTAATGTTTTAAGTTTTTTTCTAAATATTATTTGCAGGTCATAAAAAATAGTTTAAAGGTACGTTATTTACTTACTTTAGGAATATATTTTTAAAAGTGAATAAACGATATAATTTAGGTAAACAAAACGAACAAAACGCACTCAAAAAAATGTACTGTCACTTTAATAATTGTCAGTGGAACCATAATTACATCATCACTAAAATGGCGTATTATAACTAGGGTACTTTTAAACGAAGATACAGGTCGATCCATTTAAAAAATTGAGAAAATATTGTATTTGAGTTTTTACTCACCCTGTAGAGATTTGTTGCTAATTGAAAAAATTGTATTTCTTTATAAAATTTGACTATCATCGAAAAATTGTGGCCGTAAAAACATTGTTTTTCAATTGTTTCTTTTGCATGATATAAGTCATTGAAATCAATACATTTTTGTATAAAACTGGTTATATCTTGCGAAATACCCTGTATACCACCATACTCAATAATATTTTTTAAATGGGAAAAGCAAGAGTAATTCAAATATAAAATAAAACCAGGATGGTTCAGTAAAAAGAACATAAGTTGGTTCCAGAGGGAAGTTATTAAAAACTCTGTATATTCAAAAATAGTTTTAAAGTATGTAGTATAACGCTGTCTACCGTTCTAACAATATAATTTTTTTTATATCTCTACTAATGGCGGACTTTTACATACTAACGGTTCACCCTGTATTTAAATCTGTATTTCGAAAATTTGAAAATCCAGTCTTCGTGTATTTTTTTTAAATGAATTTAGTGAACAAATTTTGATTTTTATTACATTTTTAAGAACAATACCAAAAGGAGTTTTTAAGCTCCCTTTTTTACCCTTTTAGATATCCATCTGCTTCCCCCATTCCAACGTGGTTCGCCTGATCAGGTTTGGGTTCCAGCGTGGCCCGGCTGATCAAGCATGCGTTCCAAGCTGCCTTCCCTCAGCTGTGTCTTAATTTGGATGCTCTACTCCTTCTCATGCATTTAAATTTACTTTCTATCCATACATTCCACTGTCTAGATCGGCTATGAGCTCTACGAGTTCGATCACTTATCCAGTCCGTGACCGGTCTACGGCTAGGTTGTGATCGATGTTTTAAATACATTTCATAGTCAGCTAGCAACCTGGTCATAACCTTACTTACGACAGTTTTAATGTTAATATTTTTTGTGTTCCAAACACTTTTGAAAGACAAACAACAATTGTTAGTGAAAATGAAACATAAATTAAAATATTTTTTCCTATTTCAGAATGTTGATAATTTTGCTGCTGGCAGCAGCAGCACCCTCCTCGGCATTTTGGGAGTCACTTCTTTCTGAAGGATTAAATTGTACAAGTAACGAATTTCAATGTTCTAATTCCAAATGTATTAATTTAAATTTGAGATGTGATGACAAAAAAAACTGTGATGACGGTTCAGATGAAATAGATTGTGGTAAGTATTTATTTATTTATTTAATTTTATTCAAGTTATTTAAATCCAACAAGGCCTCTGTCGAACATGATATAATATCCAAGTTTTTATATTATTGTTTATTTATAAAGACGATAACAGCAGTAGGTTATAATATGTAAAGCCGTTAATCAGTGATAATTAACGTTTAATTACCTCAGTTAATTAATTATATTTATTTAATTTTGACTATCTCTTAGATATTTTATACCAAAAATTAACTTACCTTAATCCAATCAAAATTCGAGAGACGCTAAAATGGTGGTTCCCACCTTATCGAGACTGAGGCCCACAAGGCTAAACTCGTAGCGTAACGAAAACGAGAAATGATTTAACTTGGAACGAAAGAAAGTATTCAAAAGTAACCTCAAACAATACTTGATAAATAAACAGAACGGCTATATTTTCTTGTGATAATACTCTTTAAACCTGCCCTTTTTAAGCATTTCCCTTAATTTATTGTTATTTTACCCCTCGTTTTACCCGCATTTATTATAAATTATTTCTATTTTGAGATCATGTACTTTATTTTAAAAAATTACTTGATGTTATAATAATACTATTTACTATGTTTAAATTATTAATAGTTTTGCGACGATAGGTTATAGCAACTTATAGCCACAAAACCATTTTTGTGTTAAAGTAGATCCATAGAGAGTAATGTAATTTACAAAGGCCTTCTTTCAACATACACATAAATGACAACTTTATAATTAAAATAAAAAACAACAAAATACCTCGGTACCAAGGTAAAAAGATTCATTTTTAAATTTTATTTATTGAGGAAATTTATGACTAGAAGTTTACTAATTATTATTTACAATTCGCAATTCGCTGGTTGAATATGTAATCCAAAATCGTATAATAAAAATTTTCTACAAAAAACCAGCATTATATCCTACTTTTGTATAAGAACATTATATTATCTATCTTGCTGTACCTTTAGGGAAAGCCTGAATTGAGATATACTACAAATTGTTTGCAATAAATATCAAAAAAAGTATACATTTTTAAATAATTTGACATTTAAAAGCCATTCACACATCACAGTTGACATCTTGATACTTGACAGGCACAGCCAAGCATTATTCTGATTTTTGCCAAATAAAATGGCCGGTTAATTATTCTATGGGATTGCGACAGAGAGATAAATTTGATGAAGTTGTTTTTGTGGCCAGGGGCGAAATAGTAGTACGCTTAAGTAGCACCACCATAAAAAAGTCATTTTTAAAAAATTGTTTATATATTTTTCATAAATTGGCAGGCTTGGCTACTAATTTCGAATAAAAATAGCCTCCAAAATGGCTATGATTGCAAGTATGAAGGTCGCAAGCCGCCTTAGAAATTTCACCTTTACTATCAACAGCTGTTGTTTAACAGGTCGTTAGAGAATGTTTGCAATTTATGGAATTTTAAGAATGTTAGGAATGTTGACTTAAAAATAATTGAAATTCCTAAAATTGTAACATAAGAAATGCATATGCGGATTTTAAGAAAATTGATTATAAAGTAGTTAGGATGAACCGAAAATTTTTACGAGGCCCTTACAAGAGATATAAGTCAAAGTGTTAAATAATTATTTTGAAAGTTTCCAACAATTAAAAAATTAACACATTTACTTTTTCATAGTACCTACTAAAAATTATTAATACCAATATGAAATTCCAGCAACATAAAAGGAATTAATAAATACATACCGAATAATTCAAAATTGATTTTCAAAAATCAAATTTATAATTAAATAAAAGGTAGAAATGTAAAGAATAATTAGATTTTTTTCAATGACAAACTTACCACTAGAGCAGTCAAACATTTGTTTTCAATTCAACGATTGATGCCTAAAGAAAAAGATAAATTAATTACAACTCGGCATTGCTAGGGTTTTCAATAAATCTCCCCCTTCGCGAAACCTCCCTCTCTTAGCAATGCTGCGTACGCCGACAATTAAACCTTAAATCACTTTGTGTATATACCGTTCTGTCAGAAATTCCTTTTATTCGTGACGTCATCTGTGTGTGTCTAATGACGTCATCTGTGTGTGTCTAATGACGTCATCTATATTTTAAATATAAATATGGTTAATGCGACACATCATTTGAAAGTTTTTTTAATTATCTATCCAACCATATAAATAAAGTATTTAAAGATTTTTAATATTTATAAAATTATAACAGATATTCTTCCCTCTAAATTTTGATGAAGGCCGTCACTGGAAAGAACATGTTATATTTTTGTCAATAATTTTTCTATGAATATTATTTTAAATCTTTTTTTTAGATTTTTATCGTTGCGAGAAACCCAAGTACTTCCAGTGCAGAAATAAAAGATGTATAAGTCATTCATTTGTCTGTGATGAAGAAAACGATTGTGATGATTTTTCCGATGAAGTTAATTGTAAAAATTTCGAGGTAAGTGCCTAAATTTAAAACCTAAATCCCAAATTTAAAACCGAAGCCACAGATGACATTGTAATAATACACACTACAATTTATGACATATTCCACTTATTTATTTTTTAAATAAAAATCAATTGAATGTTACATTTAAAGTATTTTTATTAAATATTAATTTGTTAATTAATATGAATAAAATATTGGAAACTAAAAAAAATACTAGTATCCTTATAAAAAATCATGGCCAGTTCCAAGAACTTTGAGAGTTGGAAAATATCAGGTTATAGTCTGAATCAAAGAGGAGTGAAGTAAAAGTGGGGATATAAAGTCACATTCCACAGGCGTACTTTGCAAAATAAGTATCTATAATATCAATAATGTCAGGGCATATAAAATGGTATATACGCACTTTGTGATAAAAATAAACTTATAAAATTGTTGCACTGTAACATTAAACGAATTAAATTTAACCAGTAAATAACAAGGAGAATTATATGTTGTTAATGGGATTGAACTTTTTTTAATCTCTAGGTATTAAAAGTAACACTTCAGTACCTAAAATCAAAGATTAAAAAAATAAAAAGTTCATCAATTTTCTTTTAAAAGTCACCGTCTTCACTATAATTGGTATCATTATCATTGTCTTATCTGAGGTTTATTATTATAGGGTCTATTAAGTTTTCCATTGCTATATCCACGTTTCATCCTTTCTAACATGATCAATACATTTTCTCCAATGTTTTCCATTTACATCTGAAACTGCCTTGAAAAACAAATTTCGCATATCAGGTAATTTTAATGTTGTATTATTTCGAGAAATATAACCTTTTAATTGTGACCAGATCAGTTGAATGGGTTTTTGTGTTGCCATGCTATTACGAGTAATTCTGCCATCAAGAATTTAGTAGGACTGATAATATTTTTAGAATGAAGCCATTTTGAAATATCCTCTTTTTTCCATCATGTTGTAGCTTTAATCGACTGTGATAGGAAGTATTATTTAAAACAATAACGGAGTTGGCTGGATTTTTTTAAAAATGTTCTGTAACCAATTTTCAAACATAGAGCCATTAATTTTTCATGGTAGTCTTTTGTTTTCTTTGGCTCGAACATTAATAGATCATCTGGAGAAAATCCATCGGTGCTTCCAATGTGGGTTATTATTATAGGATTTCCTTTTCCTGTTGGATTTTTTATTCCACAATAGACCCCTTCCATAAAGGCTTGTTTTTTTAGTTTTCATGGAGGTATCTTGTCAAATTTTTATTACTTTATGTTAGCGGGTAAACAAAATTTTGTGTGATTACTAACTATAGAGGTATATAAAGTTAGCACAACGATCTTAGCAGAATCAATCAAAACCTTATCTATAATTATGTGCGAATTATGTGCAATTTTTGTGCACTATTTACGATTTTTGTGCATTTATATTTTTTTGTAATTAAATATTGTGCTAGCTTAATGTTAAGTTAGCACAACTTTTTATTATTTATCAAGTAATTTTAATTTCAGTAACACCATAATTTTGTGCGTTTTTTGTGCCAATTATGTGCGGAATCAAAAATAAATTTGGTCAAATATATTCTTTTTAATTAAATATTGTGCTGGCTTAACGTTAGGTTAGCACAACTTTTTATTATTTATCAAGTAATTTTAATTTGAAAAACACCACAATTTTGTGTAAATGAAAATCGTGCGTAGTTATCATGGAGATGACTCTGATCTCTCTCTAAAGTATGTCATGGTCTACTTTTGAAACATTTTTCGTGGATCATACTGTATTATGTAATTGTTCTGCCTTTTTTGTCTTCATACTAAGTCAACTCCGTATACATTTGCATTTAGCTCAATTAGGGGCGTATCTGGCATGCTTTTTTATTAAATTTATTTTCACCTTGGGGGTTCAAAAATAATTTTCATTATTTCGTAGGGGTAATTATGAGATTTGTTTGGGGATTTCCAAGGAATTTATTTAAATATTGCCTCCTCTAATTCTATTACTAAGAAATTAAAGTACATATAGGTACTGAATGACAGACACAGTCACATTCTACACATGGGCGTCGTTGGGGGGGGGGGGCAAGGGGGGCAGTTGCCCCCCCTGGCTTTTAGCGACAATCAATAACGCGTAAAATTATGCATACGAACAACAATCTCATATAGAAATAATAACATTAAGGCTAATATAGTTGAAGAATATTATAGGTTGAATATATTTATTGAATATCGTCGGTCTAAGATGCAAATGGCCTAACTCCTAAAATATAAATTTTTCAGGAAATGCAAAAAATCTTTTAGACCTAACCTTAATGTAAAGGGGTTATACTAAATGACATGTAATTTTTGGTGCGAATATTTAAAATAGGCTTGACAGGCCATTTCGAATCGACAGTACAGATCTTTAACTAACGGGTAGCCAATAAAACGTATCTTTGGTAAAAAGTGTAGTCAAGCCATTTGCATCTTAGGCCGACGATATCTGGAATCCCTTATTTCGTCACTTACATCACGCTTTTCCGAAGACTGATAATTTTCCTTAAGCCTGCTACATCCCAAAAGCATAAAAACAATACTTTTTTCATTACCGATTAGAAAATGAAAGTAGTGGAAAAATTTGGAATCGACAATTTTGAAGTTGAATACCAAACTGGAGTACGAAAGAGCTTTCTACACACAATGAGCTTTTCATTAATGATACAGCATCCAAATATTGTGAATTTTATCCAGACATAAAAAGTGGTTTAAAAAATATTTATGGCTCTTCCACCAACGACAGAGTTAATCGAAAGAACGTTTAGCATGTTAAAACATGGCTGCGATCTATTCGATCAGTGCGAAGTCATGGTATGGAAAGCAAAAGCGATACTAACGCAAGCTGCGGATAATTCGAGTACTTTAGGGCGATATTTTGTAATTTTGGCGTATCAAATACACGTATACATTTTACTTTTTACTAAAAAATAGGTTAAAAACAATAAAATGAGCAACCGTAGTTACTATGTTGCAAATTTTACTAGCAAAAAAACTGTAAATTATATAAATTTTCAGTAACAAAATCGAAATTAAATCAAAAAAATAAATAGACAGCTGTATAATATAAAGAAAAAAACCTTTGTTTTTGTAATAATAACAGCAATATTGGAAATAATAGACATCAGAAAAGGTTTTAAATAAACAATAAATTATTATTTTATGATATTCTTCAACATTCCTTAAGTCTTAAATATTAAGCAAATGATGTCTGCCTTTAATTATTTTATATGGCTGAAATGCAATCTTATGACTTATTGATAGGAAACCAGTTTTAATCGTTAATTTCTATGGGATCTGTCGAACTAAAAATGAAGAAAATATAAATTACAATCGCAAATATACCAATTATTTTGGTTAATACGTTTTAATTCTACGTTATTATATAATAGTAGTGTTTTTATTTTGACATTATTTAACCTATTCTTCAATGACAACTTATTAGGCTTAGGCAAGATCTCATACATTTTCTCGTAAATACCTACCTATGTTTTATTATTGATTTTTATTAATTATACTACTTTTTTTAGCTGATTTTTTCACTTGTTTTATAAATCCATATACTTTTACTTTGTCTTTTTTTGTTGGATTATTTTATTTATTAAAGACTTGTTATGACAACTTAAGTATCAGTTCTGTCCAATAGGTCAGTGACATTGTTAGGGTTACTACTACAGTTCCACTCCCCCTTAGCTTCGCTATTCAGTGAGATATCGGATTACTTTTATTCTGTTTGAAAGACTTTCTTATGATGGATTCAATTGTTCTGTGACGTCATGGCTTACTTCCGATTTTTCCGAAAATAACAGATTTTTTTTATTTTTAAAATGAAACCCTCTTTTTTGTTGCAAATTTAAATTTCTCGGACATTTTTGTATAATAATCGTGTATTGACAATTTTTTGTTAGCTGTAAAAATGGTCGCCATATTGGATAATATTTTTTCTAAATATGTTACTATTAATTCGTTTATGGAAAAACATATAGGAATGTACGAACTTTATAAAATCTTATTAGGCATCAAAATTCCCATTGAGACCCATTAACCGTATACCAGTGGCGTATCTAAGCCTTTTTATTATTAGCAAACCGTTTAATAATTCTATCCGCTTTTATCTTCTTTGTTAATTGAGATACTGGAATGAAAACTTATTTGTTTAAAAGGTTGGGACAAATACTCTCATATACTGGATTCAACTGGTGTGTGACTTCTTGGCTTACTTCTGTTTAAACAGAAATAACATAATCTCAATTTATTTTTAATTTTTAAATAGAAACCCCCGTTTTTATTGAACATTTGAATTTTAGAGACATTTATGGATAAGAATTACGTGTTGAAAATTTTTTGTCAGCTGTCAAAATGATCATCATATTGGAACATATTTTTCTTGTTACTGAAAAAATTTTCAATACACGCTTCTTATACAAAAATGTACCAGAAATTCAAATTTTCAATAAGAAAGAGGGTTTTCATTTAAAAATTAAAAATAAATTGCGATTTTCTGTTATTTCTGGAAAAACCGGAAGTAAGCCATGACGTCACAGAATAATTAAATCCATCGTAAAAAAATTCTCTTTTATGTTTCATTTTCTTTGTTTTTCAATAAATACACATACTAAATTTTTTCAAAATTTTGCTCCCCCCTATAGAATTGTGTAACGACGCCCCTGATTCTACCTTTGCGGTTTTGAAAAATGGTCAAATACGATATTAGTATTGTGGGATTTATTTTCTAAATTTTCTTACATTACATCAGACGTCAATTTTCATTTTTCTTACATCAAAAATATTTCAGCTAATTGTGAATTCAACTTGCGAAGAAGGACATTGGAGGTGTACCGATAAATTGTGTATTCCAAACGATTGGGTTTGTAATGGAACACCAGACTGTTTGGATGGATCTGATGAAACAATTGGTTGCAGTACAAATATTGAATGTGATGGATTTAAATGTAAAAATAAACATTGCGTATTAAATGAATGGGTATGCGATGGAAATGATGACTGCCATGATAATAGTGATGAAGAAGATTGTGGTAAGTTAAGACAGTTAATTAAAACAATATTTGTTAAAAAGTGCATTAAAAGAACTTTGAAACATCTTAGTTCGAGAGCCGACTTATGTACCAACCACAATTCCTTACGATTTACAATAAATAAGATAATATACACGTTATATTTTCTTGGAGGTGAAATTTGTATTAACAAATTTATTTCTAGACTTCCTGGGTTAATTTCGTAGAAAAAGATTTAGTAAATACACAAAAAAAAAATCGAATTTTTTTAATTGACTTCAAAAAAGGAAGAAGTTCTCAATTCGTTGAAAGATATTTTTATAACCTCCGATTTCTATGATTATTTGTTTGTTAGAAAGTACTTCAGAAGTGGTCCCATATCAATTTAGTCTAGATATGATGATGGAATCCATAAGAAAATCATCAGTCTTCGTTTTTGGAGTCGGTTATTTAAAATTACTTTTATAACTTGTGTGTATTTATTTTTTAATATTCCATTATTATTATTTTTTATATAACTTTAAAATTCATATCTCTTCTTCTTTGGGGCAAAACAGCGCCGGACAAAAATAGCGTTGACACAATAACTCTGCGACAAAATGGCCTCTGTCATTATTAGACGGGCCAGCTTTTGTACCTACCTTATCTAATTTTCTGCTAGTTGCAATGCTTTTAGTCTTATGTTATCATATCACTGACAAATATATTATAAGGGGCACTACAACTATATAGTGTAAAACTAGTGCATCATACTTGGTAAGATCTTTCTTTTGTTAAAGAGATAACTGGTAATGGTTCTATGATTAACTATGAACTCAACCCACTGCGTAATGCATATTCTAAGCCACGCTTATGCATATATTCTAATATTGAATTATACGAAGCCGAATCAAAGGCTTCTTCTGTGTTTAGGAATATTTCTAGTGCTATTTATTTGCTTTTCCATGCTTGTTCAGTCTTTTGAGCTAGCCTATGTATGGCTACATCGCAATAGTTTCCAGATTGGTAGGCAAACTGGTATCGATGTATCGGGTTTTTCCGTAGAACATATTTCCGTATCTATCGATCAATTTCTCCAAGGCTTTTAGGAGAAATTATGTTCAACACTTTCTTAAGTTTGTGTATGACGACAACTCTTGCGGACCTCTAGCTTTGTGAAACATATTCAAGGGGGTAATGCTAGCTCGGAATAGTTTACACAATGGTCCATCCAGTACTTCCTGGCTCTTTTGTAGGTGTGCCAGGATTATAATATCAGGTCTTGCTGTTTAGTATGGTTAAAAAGAATGCCTCGATCCTCCTCTTGGTCTAGGATAATCTCACATCCAGGGAATTGTGACTTTAGTAATAACTCCAAAGTTTCCTCCTCTGCGTTTGTTAGTTCTTCCTTGCTTATGTCTTTGTAAAGTTTTCTTGAGTCTGGAACATCTTTACAAAATACGAAATTGCCTTTTTTAGCAAAATATTTGAGAAAATTCTGTTCTCTTGTGCGGTAATAAGAAATTTTAGTTTTTTTGGTTACCAATTTTCTTTCTTTTAGCCTTGGAACCAAAATTTCTAAAGCTGACTTTGATAGTCTCAGATATCTAATTAAGTCGTTTAAATCATCTTGATTGAATGGTTTTGGCGTTCCCAGGTCGCATTTAAAGTCACTATCACTACTGTCGTTTTTTGTCTCAAAATCTTCTGGCTCTTCCTGTAAAGTACCAGATTGAGGTTGAGGTGTAGACTTAGGGCTCAAGACACGTCTGTGTGCCGATTGTATGGAAGGATATTTCCATTTGGATCGATTTTTTCGGTTAATACCACTTATGTTCTCCAAACAAAAATAACAATCGTCATGGTGGTTCATGGGTTCATTTCAAATTATAGCGGTTTTGTACCTGAAGCTAGGTCTTTTCTTATTTGTCCATAAACGTAGGAACTCAACGCATGTTTTGCATACCTTTTGCGGAATCCACATTTAAACGGTATTCTTTAAATGAAACAAAAATTGTTTGAATCATTTACACATACTATTCTTGACGATGCCATATCAAATTACAAAATAAAACAATAATTTAAACAAGAGAGATAATTTCACTATTGTCTTACTAAACCTTCCCCTAAAATAACAAAAGATCATTTCTTAAGAATTCTGAAATTGGGTTTTACCGGTCATTAAATAGAGGTACTTTTACATTTATAAGTATGTTTTAAGAAACTACAGGGGGTGTCCGCGGTCGTACAACAGAGGGGTCGTTAAAGAGGATTATAAATTGATGGTATTTCCAAATAAAATTAAATATGTATAAAAATTTAATAATTATTATTAAATATACTGCAAATAAACACTATAATGCAGCGAATTTTTAGTGAAAGCTATAACTCGTAAACAAGAGCTGTCAGAAAAAAAGTGGGGGTATTTGTAAAATCAGCGACTTAAAATTAGTAAACATCATGTGACATAAGTCATTCATCAGTCAAAAAGTGTAATTTTGTTGGCCAGTGTAATAATAACCATAAAACCTTGTACACCAAAAATTTTAGTATTAAGTATTAGTATTAAACAATTTATTTATTTATTTATTTTTCCAGAGAATCATGTTCCAATTGATCAGTGCACACTGGATAAGAGAAAATTCCTCTGTGGTAATAATAAAACCTGTATCGATCTGTATTTGGTATGTGATGGAGTTTTTGACTGCCCAGATCACTCAGATGAAGGAAAACAATGTAACTCTTCAGCTAAAACTTGTAAAACAGATCACAAATGTTCGCATGATTGTTTTCCTTTACCCATTGGTCCAAAATGTTTATGTCCCGTTGGTTACCATACTTTAGATGAAAAGAATTGCGAGGATATTAATGAATGTGAAAAATATGGTGAGTATGCAATATGGATATGAATATTTTCTCTCTTTAGGAGCATTGGAGGCCATTAACCAAAAACATTCAGTATAAAGGTACCATTTGACAAGCAGCAAACACCAAATCTAAAAACGTTCTCTTCACATCTGAACACATGTAATTTATGAAACACATTTGGGAAGACGCGACAGACGACAGCACTTTTAATACGGCAATATTTGATGCGTTGCTGCTGTCGTCTGCCTCGGTCTTGCGTTCCCAAAGGGTATCTTTACATATTTAATTAGTTTATTAATAAATACGTAGGGGAGAGTGCCCTACAGTGAGACAGGTCCCACAGTGAGACATTTACTATATCTCTCTGAAAAACTGTAATTGTTGGCAACGCTGTACAACAAACGAACCACCTCAATGCATTTACCCATCTCTTCAGTCGAATGGTAACCTTGAAGGCGATAGTTACGTTCAATATCAGTGAGTGAATAACTGGTGAAAAAATCGAGTACAATAATATAATCTTTCGTCTCTGTTTATATGCTGGTAAGTACCATGGGTAACATCGTTAATTTTATTATGTCAAAATAACTTTGTAACCAACATTTTTACGTATAAATGTTCGAGTTAATGTTTAAGGTTATAGAAATACATTATGTTTTTATTAGGATATTACATTGTCCAACAGTGGGACAAAGTTGAGTGCCCTACAGTGAGACATGTCTCACTGTAGGACGCAAGTCAAATTCAGGATAAATAAATATCGTGCTTATTAAAATCTGGATTTGAAGATTTAATTTTTGTTTCAGAGCAAAGAATATGGACAAAGCAAAAAGAAAATTAAATAAACATGACGCACATGTAATGAGGGAAGCAGTAGCTATGGTAATAGCAGGACAGCCACTAAGAGAAGTTGGTCATATAAAAGGTATACCACATCAGACTTTACATCGCTATGTTAAAAAACAAAAAGAAGCTCCCGAGCCCATTTCTATGGTACCAAAATATGAAAGAATATTTACAAAGCAGCAAGAGGTTGTATTGGCAAACTACATGATCACCTGCGCAAAAATGTTCTACGGCCTACCTCTAATTGAATGTAGACAACTAGCCTACGAAATGGCAAGTGTGAATGAAATTGATATGCTAGATACCTGGAAAATTCGAAGGCTTGCAGGGAAGAAATGGATGCGGGGTTTTATGAAGAGAAATCCTCGGCTATCATTAAGGACACCTGAAGGGTGCAGTTTAGCAAGAGCTGCAGCATTCAATGAAACCAATGTAAATTTGTTTTTTGATCAATTACATACATGTTATACGAGAAGTGAACACTTCAGTAATGGAACAAGGGTTTTTGACCTAGATGAAACTGCTACCATCACACAACAAAAACACCATATAAAAATCCTAGCAGAAAGAGGCTCCAAACAAGTCAGCAAGATAACTTCTGGAGAAAAAGGAACCCTTGTAACAACGTGCATGATTGTAAGTGCAGCTGGAAATTGGTTACCACCTGCAATGGGATTTCCCAGAGTAAACTTTCACAGTCGTATGATCAATGGTGCACCACGAGGCCCATTAGGTTTGGTAGCTAAGACGGGTTGGATGAACACCGATTTATTTATTGATGTAATGAAACATTTTATTAAATGTAGTGGGTTCTCACAAGCAAATCCTTCTATACTAATTTATGACAATCACGAGAGCCACATATCAATACATTGTATTGAATTGGCAAAAGAAAACGGTGTAACGCTTTTAACTTTTCCTCCCCATTCGACGCATAAGTTGCAACCATTAGATGTTGGAATTTTCGGGCCTTTTCAGAAGTTTTATAACGCTGCAGTGGATAGCTGGATGCTTCACAATCCTGGACATTCATTTAGTATATATGAAGTTGCGGCATGTGTTGGACAAGCACATGAAAAAGTAATGACACCGGCAACAATAACGCATGCCTTTAAAAAGACTGGAATTATGCCATATTATCGAAACATTTTTACTGAAGATGACTTCCTAAGTAGCCAAGTAACCGAAAAACCTTTAATTGAAGACAACAACAGTGAAAATGACCATTTAACCCAGACTAAAATTATTGAAATTAATGAAATCCAGACAACTACTGAAATTAATCAAATTCAGGAAACTGCTGTCGCTAATGCGATTCCAACCGTAGAAATTCATGAAATTCAGCCAACTGCTAAAATGATTGAAATTTCTGACAAGGTTCTAAAACCAACTTCTGGTCAAAATAGTCAGATATCAACTCCACAAGAAAATTTGTCTGTTAAAATCCAATCTACGCCAACTACATCGAAACAACAATTAGTGGATCAGGAAAATAAACCAAAACTTAATTTTATCTCTCCCGATATATTTGGAGGATATCCAAAGAAAACTGTCGACAAAGGAAAGATAAGGAAACGAAGAAAAAAAGCAAAATGTATGATAGCCACTGACACCCCAGAGAAAAATGAAATCGAAGAAAACTTTCTGGAAAGACAGAAAAAGTTGCAAAAGCAAAAAACAACTATACGAAATATTAGTCAAAGCTGTAAGACAAAAAAGACACCTCAGAACATAAAAAAAATTAAATACAACTCTAACACTAACTAGTGAAGAATCCAGTGATGAATTTTCCGATAAGGAAAATACTTCAGATGAATACGAATCTGATGAACGAGAAGATCTAGTTCTAAATAAGTTAAAAAAACAACCCAAAGCAGATGATTACGTATTAGCATGTTTTAAGGCAAAATCTTCAAATATTTACTATGTAGGTAAAGTGATAAAGGGGGATGATGGGGAAACAGAAATAAGTTTCCTCCGTAGACTGGCGCAACAAAATAAATTTACTTATCCGCAGGTACCCGACATTTGTTCTGTCCAAAATAGTGATATAAGTGCCATTTTACCCAAACCGATTTATTTTGGTCAAACTAGACGACAACATGCATACCTAACTTTTCATGTTAATTTTGACAATTTGAAAGTTCGTTAATTGTTTCTGTACCTAATAAAATGACAAAAAAATATTTTACACTGTTATTTTTCCTATGTCCCACCCAAAGAACCATTGTCTCATTGTTGGACACCCCATGTCTTACCCTTGGGCAAGAGTGCCCAACAGTGAGACAATTTTTTAATAAAATAAAAAATTATTATTACCTATTTCCCATTCGATTTAATAAAAAATATTGCCAGAATTATTTGTCTATGCAAGAGTTACTTAATTGGTATTTTTTATTTTTTTTTTGTACACGAAAACTTTAAAAGTTATTGACGAAATAAAAAAAATGTCCCACTGTAGGGCACTTTCCCCTACATCGGACACAAATTGCATAAAATGTTTTAAACTATAAAAAAATGACTGCACCAGAAGAGTTTGTGCAACAATAGTGGATATGATGGCCATATCGCAACGAAGACGAAATTTGAGCACGACGCCGTAGGCTCGAGTTGTACAGTATATTTTTTATACGACCCCCTAAGGAAAATGTACAAATAAAAATATTTTAGATTATTAAGACAAAATAACTAATTTTAAAATAATTTGTGACTTTTAATAATTTTTAAAATAAAAAAAAAGAAAAAAGTTTATTTAATTTTTGCCCATCCGGAACTCTAACCACAGGACCACCTACTCTTTTATTTTTGTTGCTTTAATAGTCGTAATTAAATTGTCTTCATATAGTTTTATGTAAATAAACACAAGAATAACCCATTTTAATGTATGTTTAATCTTAATAACTAAAAAATATACTGACAATTAGTTTGACAGAATTGTCACTTATTAAAAAATTTAAAAATAATAGCAGTCGATTGATCAAAATATGAACGGTGATTGGTGGAATTAATTTTTTTGCAGTGTTCTCACTACCTAGAATGGATATGAAATATATTCGTTCTGTTGAAGGCAATAGCATACTATTTCGTTTTGTAATCTGTGCGTAGATAAGCTAATATCCATGTGGGTGTAGAAAAAAAATGTTCCGAAACATATGTAGTGGTTGTGCTTAAATGATATGACAATAAACAATATGACCGAATAAACCAAGGAATTTTTTATTTATATACAAAAAATGATTACTGTGCATTTTAAATTTAAAAATAGAGTGGTACAATGAGATACTTTTCAATACCTTTTACAACACATCGGCGGATCCAGAACCTTTTCAAGGGTTCATAACATGGGCTGTTTTTTTTTCTATTAGTTTGAAGGGGTGGGGGACAATTGCCTCTTTGCCCCCCGTGGATCCGCTGGTTACTAATTTTTTAAAAATAAAATTTATAAAAAACAATTTTTTTGAAATAATTCTTTCAAAGTAAAATTGAAATAAAAGATTTCTATTTTCCTAGAAATATTAATGTTTGAACAAATAATCGTTCCAAACATTTTTAAAAAGATTGATCTATCCGAATTATTGCAGCATCTGAACCGCAAAATTTTTGTTATACTTATAGTAGGTTCATGTAATGAACTAAAGTTTGGTAGTTTAGGAGAGTATTATTTCCAAAATTAATTTCAAAAGAGGCTATTTTTCTAAAAATTTGTTACATTTTCGAAAAATTATAATCCGAAAATAAAAATTCGAAAAATGAGATTTTGAAAAATGGATAATACAAAATATTACTTTTCGAAAAATTAAGTATTCTATAAATTATTTTTTGACATGCAATGCACTGCAGATTCCCTTAAATGCATTCTTAAATAAAATAGCTGTGTATGTACAAAAAATTACAGTTTTCGTAAGTTATGATAAATTAAAGAATACTCTGTATAGCAGGCGCAGAAGTTGGAAATGCTTTTGGTAGGTAGAGAGGGGGTAAACGTCAACCACGTCGGACGGCTTCGAGAATTTCGCAGTAATGTTAACCTGTCAGTGTCGTTTCATAGAATAAATAATTTTAAATTGTTACCAGCGGAACCGGATAATCGCATGTGTTTATGAACTATAAATAATTATTAAACATGTATAATAATATCTAAATCATAATTCTACAAAATTTCAACAGCTGTTTACAATTTATTAAACTATTTACTCGAAATTGGTATTAACATCTATAAAATATTTTTTTACGTCAATGTATCATGTCCTTCGGTTAGATCCGCCGCAAACCTGTCAATTTATGTGTATAAAGTGGGAGAACTGGCAAAAGCCTTTCCAACTTTTGCCTCTGCTATATCTTGGTTACAAGGATTCAATAACCCATTAAATATGGTATATTATTTAGAACCACCATGGTTGCATCTATATCTACCCTTAACGTATGTGTATTTGCTAATGAAATGTCCTGTACAATATTTATGTATTTTTTTGTAGGTATTTGTGATCAAATGTGTCGCAACAAGCCAGGATCTTACGAATGTTACTGCGACGAAAAATACTACTTGCAATCAGAGGATAAAAAAACATGCAAAGCTCATGGTGGAAATGGAATTATGGTTTTCAGTTCAAAAGATCAAATAAGAGCGATGACTCTTGATTCTAGTCACTATTTTATAGTCGCTAAAAATTTACAAAAAGTAGTGGGAGTAGCGTACGACGGACATCATGTATATTGGACGGAAATATTTCAGGGATACGAAAGTATTGCAAGGGCGATTGAAGACGGATCAGAAAAAGAGGTACGAACGACTGTGTATATAAAGTGCGTTGCAAAAAGTCTGCATCGTAGAAACACGAAATTGTAAAAATTTTTTAGTCTAAGAAAAAAAGGGAACAATAATTTAAATTAATTACAGTGCAACCTCGATAATCCGAACCCATGCTAATCCGAATTACGCTAATCCGAACGCAAATCGTGATGCGAGATAGTCCGAAAGCCGCCTCTGTAATCCGAACGCTGACAGGAAAAGACCTACAAGACATTTACATACATATGTAGTTTGATTTAAATTTAAATGTACAAAAATCAATATACATACATAGATCTAAAGGTCTAAAAATGTGTAAGAGGTGTTTTATTGTATATTCGTTAATCAGAACAATTCGATAATCTGAACAAGGTCTGACAATTAGGTGTTCGGATTAAAGAGGTTGCACTGTATATTATTTATACCGGTAAAGTCTGCTTCATATGTGAATTTAATTTATTATTTAGTCTACGAAAATTTAATAATTCATGAACAGTTTTTCCTTCAATATTAAAAAATGATATTGACGATTTTTTCAGTCCTTTTTCATTCGATCGCCTATAGATACCTGTCAAATTTGACAGGTTAAAAAAATTTAATGGATTATTTCTAAAAGTTTTAAAAAAATGTTAATTTCCTACCTACCTAAAATTTGAACGGCTTTAATTATTTTCACATTTTCTTAACAGGTTTTTGGCTCGCTCAAATATCAAATATCACAGTACAAAAGGCATTTTAGTTAAGATTACCATAAATCTAAATTTTTTAAACAATCTGCCAATCAATAAACCCCACCAAAGAAAAATACGACTCAATCGCAAAACCGTTAATTTAGACAAGATAGGATATATAATGGAAAAATAAGTCAAGTATCTAGGCCTAACCAGTGGCGGCTCGTGGGCACTAGCGGCAGTGAGGCACTCACTGGAAAGGAATCCCGGGATTCGTTTTTCCCTTAGGAAAACAAGTTCCCCGCTTAATGAAAATTAAATATATTTCAAAACAAATTAAATATTACAAAATTGAAGAGTAACTGCTAGGTAACGCTGCAGTTGTATACTATTTCTTATAGTTGAAGTCCATTCTTCTGGATTTTTGGCTAGCGAAGTGATCGATGACCAGATTATTAAAATTTTGAATGGACCGAATAAGTTTTTTTTCGATGGATAACATGGCTAACGCGCACAATCTATCTTGGCACATAGTTTTAGTTAAAAATGTTTTAATACGTTTTAGTGTCGAAAAACATCTTTCACTCTCCACTGTGATCATGGGAATTGTACACAGGATAGTTAGCAGCTTCACAGATTCCGAAAATGTAATTGTCAAATTGTTCTCAAAAAACATTTGTAATAACGGCCCCATTGTGTTGCACAAAGTCATCTCGGGTGTAAAGTATGGACAGTTCGTTTTTGAATTTTAAGCTGTTTACGTTTGGAAATAAACTACACACAGTTTTAACGTCCTTATTTGGAATACAACCTCGGTAGCCTTTAAATTTTTCACTATAAAATAAACTTGCAATTTATTTACTTACTATTTTCATACAAAAATTTGATTTTAAATTATACTATATAGTTATATAATCTAGACTAACCATATATTAAAAGAATGAAAAAAAGCATTCTAATTCTAAAATAATATATTGGTGTTCTGGTTTAAAAAAATACATTTATTTATTCGTGCCTGAATTATGAAACAACCTGTATATTTTTATGTAATTTATGAAATCGATAGAAAAATTATGTAAAAAATAACAGTTATTGAAATATCGCCCAACTCTATTGCACATCCATTATATTGACGTTTCTATTTTTAAGGATTAACATGTATGTAAATTTAAAGATTTTTTGTGAAATAGGCTATTTACCTATATGAATAAGGCAATTTCACTATTTGCTGCCGACGTAGACAATTTAATCTTACCCAAAATATCTTCTAGATTATAATAACAGCGGGTTTAGATTTACCAGAGGACTTGGCAATTGATTGGTTGACTGGAAACATTTATTTTACTGATGCGGAGAAGAAACATATTGGAGTATGCTCGTCCGATGGATCGCATTGTACTGTTTTATTGAATAGAGACATTCGAAAACCAAGAGGGATTGTTCTTAATGTTGAAGCAGGGTAAGAAAATATATTAATGAATCTTTTATTTTGAAATTTACGATATCGGAATATCCCAACCTTCTCAGAAACCGTCTATTGAAAAAGAAAAAAAATATAAAAGTGTCTCTGCAAAATTGTTTGATATTAGTTTTAATAGATACTTGAATATTAATAATTCAAGTTCTTTACCTCGATCTCTCGAAATAACGTGCTGTATGAACGTAGAACGTTTTTGTTTATAATATTGATAACTCCGGTTTGAGATCAATTTAATTTATCAAATTTGGTCTCGTTCGGCTGTTTACCTATTACTAAACTAAATAAACATATTTGTTTTAAAATGTGTTAGTTGTTCACTTTTAATGTTTTAAAGTTTTAATTAGATATTTCATGGATATTTTCATTTTCAGTGATATGTACTGGACTGATTGGGGAGAACCAGCTCAAATTGGATACTCGTTGATGGATGGAACTCGTGACAAACCATTTGTTACCAAAGACGTACATTGGCCTAATGGCTTAGCTTTAGATGTTCCAAACAACAGACTTTATTGGACAGATGCTAAAAAGATGACATTGGAAAGTGTACACTTGGATGGAACTGATCGTAGGGTAAGAATTTTCATAAAAATATTAATAAGTGATCCACAAGTGTTTCTAAAGTAGATTACACACAAAAACATATATGAATCATGTCCGTGATAAGTAGCCATACAAGTGTAGAAGATGTAAATATAAGAGACTTCGTTGCGAGGGAATGTCCATAGAAAAAAGTACTACCTCTACTGTGGAACATAATCATCGAGATCCCATCAGCCGCCTCAATAATGACAGTCTCTACACAATATCGTAAACAGAGAATTTGGAAAAGATACTTTGCGAACGAATGCAAGTAGTTTACAACATTATAGAACAGATAGAACTATCTGAATTCTAAAAAGAATGGTAGGTATTTTTCATAAAAAAAAGAACAAAATTGGAAGTAGAATAAATTCAGGAACAGTATGTTTTAACATGAAAACCACACCAACCAGAGCCATAGATGAAATTCTTAGTCTCACTTTTCTTGATATATACATCAAGGAGGTTCCTCTGATGATAATGGCATGACTCAGAGTTAGTTCTAGAATGTAACGAAGCTTTGGCCGAAATATATTTCAACAATGTGGTTATGGATTAAAGATCATGTCACATCGATTGTCACATCTGTTGTATTGCTAATTCACTAGACAACCAAAATCATTTTTAGATCTGGACTGACAACATCGGCAGTGACAAAACTAATTAAAAAGCATTCCCTTGTGAAATTCATTGAAAAATGGGATGCAACAAGAAGCTGCAGAATGGCCAGGGAGCTTTTAAGTGATTCTGACAATACTGCAGCAAACAAATACTTGACTATGACTAGACAAAATCTGCGCCTAAGTACAGACATTTTGACTGGCCGTTACTGTGGCTGTAACATGTGGCTTTTAGAATCCTTCTCTACAAAAGATGCGAACAGGCTGAGACCATCGATAATATTCTCTACGATTGCCAGACTCTCTCATTTATTAGATTTGTGTTCAGCGAGAATTGTCTAACACCGGCCGATATAAGAAAGGCATCTTCTGGCGACGTTGTCAACTACACCAAATCTCTAAGCTGTCTCACGAGCTAGGAGGGTCTATCAATTTAGGAGGATGCGCAATGGGCTTAGTGAAGCCTATGTGCCATGGAAGTATACTCACCCTCCACACGTAACAGAAACAGAAGTATCCACGCCTTCAAATTAATTCCAAACTGCAATTTAAAACAAGAATTGTAGGTTCCGAAATTCGTGATTTTTCCATTACCTACTTTAGGAAAAAAAGTTGTGGAACACTTCATATTATTTGTTTTAATAGAGGTATTAAAAATATTATTAGGCCATGCTAGTTAGGCACATTTGTCATAGGTATATGAAATCGTTTAGTCGACGCGAAAACCCCAATTATTATTTTACTTATAATAAATGTAGTGTATGTTTATCTAGTTATAATTGTTGGTATTAGATTAGATTAGATTAGGAGTTGGACGTTATAGGTCCTTGTCACCCGCGACCTTTTCAGATCTATTCTGGGACTCCGTTTGTTTTAGAGTATGTCGTCTAGCCTTGTCTTTTTTATTAGACTTAGTAGCTTTGACAGTGACTCCCGCATGTAGTTACATGCATTTGGCTTTTCTTCGCCCAATGTTAGAAACCTCATTCCAGCCAGGCCTTCACATTGGCACAAGACGTGGAATGATGTTTCTTCTTCAAAGAACAAAGTTGCTTCTTCTGCTGGATTTATGACACTCATGTGCCTTTTGAGGCGACAATGTCCAGTAAGAAGGCCTACTGTTATCCTAATCCTGAGACTCTTTTTGCATCCATTGTTTAATGAATGCCTTAGCAACTCCACAGAATAGTTTGGGCCTGTCATGGCCTTATCTGAGCCTTCTCGGGCTAATTTGTCGGCCTTTTCGTTGCCATGATGTCCCTTATGGCCTGGAACCCAGGCTAGAGTCACCTTATTTTGACTACTTAGCTCTGTCAGGTCTTCTAGACAGTCTTTTACCAGTCGTGATTTGATTTCTGGTGAGAGAATTGCCTTTAGAGCTGCTTGGCTATCAGAGTATATGGCAATAGTTTTGCCTGATATTTGCTGATTAATTATTTCTCTTGCACAGTGTTCTATGGCTATTAGCTCAGCCTGGACCACTGTTGCATATTTTCGTAAACTCAGCGAAATCGTTGATTTCGACTTGGGTCCACAGATTCCAGCACCGGCTCCTTCCTTGGTTTTTGAACCGTCTGTGTACCAGACGACTTTAGCCTGTACGGGAGGTCGCTGTTTCCAGGATTCTCGGGCTGGTATTTGAATTTGAAAATTTCTTTCAAATTTGTATGTGGTTATGGCTCTATCAGTAGACATAGCTAGAATATTTTATCCCTTTTTACTTGCTGATATAGCCTTGTGTGGTCGGCGCTATGTAGTTGGCTTATTGGGTTTTGTCCCAGCATTAGTCTGTGAATACCTGACCTGGTTTCTCCTTGTATGAAGATGTGCAGTGGCGTGAGATTTAATAATACCTCCATTGCTGCAGTCGGCGTAGTGCGCATGGCCCCAGTAGCACTTAGACAATGCTAGTGAGTTCGCCTATTTTACTTGACTGCACAAATTTGATTACCCACGCCACTGCGCCATAGGTTATCATGGGTCTTATTACCCTTGTGTATAACCATATGGTCATTTTGGGGTTTAGATTGGTATTAAGTAATTTATTAATAATTGAAACGGCAAATTTTTTAATCACACCGTCGTAATCTCATGAGAATGGAAGAGATTCTCAAATGTCAAAAAGTCACCAGTGTAAATTCATTCAGGGTACCCACTAAAAATAAAATTTCCAGAATCTTTTTCGGTTGTCATGGAATAATTTTAAAAGAGCCATCTGATTGGCTATTAAATAGAGGTGTAAACTTTTAATTATAATCTAATTTAGAATAAAGATATCGGCGAAATTTTAAACCTTAACTTAGTAGAAAACTATACATCGATAATGATATATCCTAAAAAAGACAAAACAAAACTAATCCAACCTTATTTAAAAATTTGCAAAGCTCGTAATAGTAGTTTGTGCAACAAGAGTGGGAATGATGGCCATATAGGACGAAGACGAAGTTTGAGCACGGCGCCGTAGGTGGAGTGCTTAATCATCTTAGTGCAATACGGACAATCCACTCTAGTTGCACAATATATTTTTTTACGACTTACTAACAAAAATCTACAAAAATTTTAAAATCATTTAGAGGTTATTTAGATAAAATAACTATTTTAAAGACAATTAACACAAAAATGTGAAATTATAAATTTTACTAATAATAAAAGAACAAATCGTCGCCTTAATGCAGAACTAATGTATATCCACAAAAATGCTAATTGTCATTTTTAATACCAAATAAAGCTATAGTACCCTCCCTATGTCATATAGAAATATTGTAACATCCGCAGTGGTTTTCCTCTTACGACTTTGTAAAAATATTGTAAAACATAAATTTTTATTTATTCTGAAGGCAAAAAATTGTTCTCGTGTAAAACTAACATTTTGTGACATAAATAGTTATGGCATTGGAAAGCTAGTAAAAACTGCTACCTATTCAATGATATAAGTTCTGTGGTTATATGTGGCAAAGCCATATACATATGTTAATTTTTCTTCATTTTAACGTGTACATAAAATCTGCTAGGTTTTATGCATTTCTATACGGTGGCAAAACTATACAAAGTGGAAAGTCTAACTGGAACAAATTCTGTAACTTGATAAATAAAGGTTTGTCGCAAAATTCCTGAAACACATCAATTTTTATTTTCAATGGGGCATATTACGAAAAGATTTGTTTATCTTTTAATTATCTGGGGGGTTGCAAACATCTCCAACTTTTTTTTTAAATAGAAGGGTAGGTTGATTAATTTTTTATTTGAAAGCTTTTTCAATTACAAATGCAATTACATTTTTTCTTGTTACTTTTTATAAGCAATATGTCGGAAAAAATGAAATAAGGAAATATTTACTGAAATTACTTTAATGTATAGGTACATTTAAAAAACAAACAAAATTTTCAAATACCATTTTAAATGCTACAGGGGTAATAAGGAATTTAGAGAGCTTTGAAATTTTAGAGTTTGTATTGCTGAACCAAAATTTGTTTTATTCAAAAATTTATTTAGGCCATTCAGCAATAAAAACTCAGAAATTTCAAAGATCTCTAAATCCCTTATAACCCATATAGCATGTAAAATGGTATTGGAAAAAATTGTTTGTTTTTTATTATCTTTCGAATGGCCTAAATAAATTTTTGGAAAAAACAAATTTTGGTTCAGCAATAAAAACTCTGAAATTTCAAAGCTCTCTAAAGCCCTTATTGCCCATATATCATTTAAAATGGTATTTAAAAACATTGTTTGTTTTTCTATTATCTATCCAATGGCCTAAGTAAATTTTTGAAAAACACAAATTTCGTGCTAATAATAAAAGCTTTAGCCCTCTCTAAATCCCTTATTATAATTTTAAGAAAGGGTAATAATAATTATAATGCAACAAATTATGATTTAATATATTCTTCATGTCGAAATTTAAAATAATTAGATGTTAAAAATTTAGTTAGACCGCTGGCGCTTTGGCCTCCACCTGAATTTATTGCTGGCTGGCTACTTGCTAACATGACGCAGGTCTACCTAAGCGCCCCAGTCTGAACCTCGCGCTTTCCTGATTTCGTTGGACACGTATCATAACACATTTTAACAACAAATTCAGCCATAAGAAAATGAGTCATAAAACTGCACGTTGGCTCTAGGACTACTTAAGTTTTTTTTTTAGAATGAATGGTTTTTAATCTATTTGTATTTTACCCAAGTAATCAGCAAATTGTCTTCATTATGATATCCTCAAGTAAACCTTAGAAGCTTAAAACTAAGAGTTCACCCAATTCTCGCCTTTCTGATCTAATATTCCAACTTCAGAAATATACACTTCTTCAATATTAATTCTTGCAGCTTTTTCTTGTTTTTTTTTTGAGATAATTTTCCTCTCTTCTTCGACTGCTGGCACTCAGAGACTTCTGTAAAGATCTGAGTTCCTTACAATCCAATGTGCGTTTGTTATTGCTTTAAATACAACAGAAAACAACTTTGTGTTATATTTATGTAATTTTTAATGTCACACCCACAGAGCTGTACGCTTTAATTTTATATAAAAGTTCATGTCTAAATATTTAGCCGAATTAGAATATTATATTCTAGTAAAATGGGGATTCTACCACATTTTGCATTTGTGATATCTAGTAGGTAAAAAACAGGTAGATGACTGGCCTCAGGTGGATTCCTTGAGGCACACCTGCTTCAACTTCTTTAAGCGTGGAATATTCTTCTTTATTTGCTCTGCAGATTCTATCAATCGAGTACGATTTTAAAATGTTTATTTTATATTCAAGGCCTTCCAACCATACCCAGCATAAAATGATACCATACTCTGTTCACACAAAAGTAAATTTGAATTATAATTCTTCTTTCAGATTATATTAGAGGGTGTAGTAGAACATCCTTATGCAATCGCCGTCTTCGAAAATAAATTATATTGGTCTGATTGGGCAACTCACACTATCCAATCTTGCGATAAATTCGATGGAAAAAATCACCGCACGATAGTTGAAGATAAGGAACGGATATATGGAATTAGCATATTCCATTCTGCCACTCAAAAAAGGAAAATAAACCCATGCGAACGTTCATTGTGTAGTGATATCTGTGTATTGAATGGACTATCGTACCGTTGTGCCTGCCCTCAAAATAAAATTTTGGAAAGCGACGGACATTATTGTAGAGGTAAGTTATTTTAATTAATCAAAAACATACAGTCGTATCCTTTATAAAATTATGAAAAATATATTGTCGATTGTATTGGGAAAAACTTTGAATATTCACAATTTTAATTAAAAAGTATGGGTCCAATAAGAAATTGAAAAATTTATACCTACCCCTCAAAATAACGCATTAATTAGGTACATTTTTATAATTTCTGATGTATTTTTCACTTCCTTAAAGAATCTCGTATAATTTGCGTGTATTACTTTGTTCAAAAGATTGTTTAATTGGACTTGGGCGCTTCATATTTAGTCAGTAGCAATATATGAGTTTAAATTACACAGTGTCTAGGTACACGCTAACTTGTACGCAATTCAAAAAGTTATATACACGCGAAACGTCATGCGCTATGGTATTATTATGACTCGCGTATCGGGGACAACACTAATGATTTGTAGTGCGCATGTCGTATGCGTTTTATTTGTACATCGGTCTCCTTTTGACAGAGTAGGTGAGCTGTGTCCAGACCGTTGGTGTTTATGCCCGTCGGCGTAGCCAGGTATGAATTGAAAGTTTTTGGTGGCGGCGAAGCCTACGAGAAGTCGTTGCTTCGTCTTCTTGTTGTCACGGCATTATTATTATTTGTTGATGTATGTGAAATTTGCTTCTAAGGTTTATAAAATGCTACTGCTAGTCACGGCGTAAATGAAAACAAACAAGACGCATTCACACAAACACCTCCCACCACAGCAATTACAAATCATTAGTGTCGTCCCCGATACGATTGCAGCGACAACAGAGACGTGTAACTTAATGGGAACATTTGTTCGGTGGTCCATTTAAATTACATATATGACTTTCTTTCTCTTTTACATTGATCTTTACATATATTTATCTCTCTCCAATAAAACTAACACCAATTTTAGAGGTCGCTGATGTTGCTGGTTTTTTGACGTCGACGTATAGATTAGAACTGACAACTGACAATGTTATGAATGTTGTTATGAACGTGTGCATTTTATTAAAATTAATTTAATTTGGGCCCCGTTTATTTCTTTGAGTCTGATTTTGTTGTTTAATTAATTTTCTTTGGGGGAGGGGGGGATGTTTATTTTCGCATATTATTTTTTGCATGAAGCAATTTCTGGAACCAAACTCGCGTTTTTGTACACGTTTCTTTCTAGAGGTAAGTAACTTCCAATTTATTAAGAAAACCACTGTATAATGTTTGTGTTTAATAATATATTACAAAATTGCTATAAATATTTTAGGTGTATTGGAACAGAGATCCATTGTTACAGCTACTTTTGTTCATTATGTAGGTAGATTAATGTCTCGACAGCTTTAATGGCAGCACAAAGTTCCCACCTAATAGAAAATAAGTAAAATGTATGCTGAGTAAAAAATCTCTCCACATGTAGTATTGGCGACGGACTTTTGAAATGATTAGAGATTGGCTATTTCTTATATACACCTACCTCTAATAGCCACTCTAGTGACTATAAGAAGATTGTAGAGTCATTTAAACGAAGAAAAAAAATTGAATCACAAAAGGACAGAATTTTAAATCAGTATGCATTGGAAAATAAATTTGGGGACATCAGGTCGGTTTTGGATTTTAGAGAGAGATCAATATCAAGAAAAGGTAATTTATCCTGCAGAATAACCAGTAGTTTAAGTAGGATCTGCTATAACTTTATTAGATAATAAATTGTAATATACCAATTGTTTCAAACGAAATTGAAAAAGAGTTAAATTCGAAATTAGATTTATCATGGGTAAAATGTTATATTCATTCAAACATCGTAAGGTAGTCTATAATTAAAGGAGTATGGAAAATAGGTATACCCTGGTAAGGGACAACGACAAAAAAATTACAAAAATGTATTCATCTTTAAATAGTGTTTATTATTAATATTATTACTTGCTATGTTTGAAAAGTACCTCCTGCTGCAGAGAATATCGAATAGATTAGACGACTAGTTAGAGAAGGTCCACCTAGTCACCAAATTAGGAGATTAGGAAAACTTTTACATGACTGGGGACACAACAGAAATCTACACGCACAAGATACACAAACAGGTGACATAACAGGAGTAAGCCTTCAGCAACGTCCTGTTTAAATGATGATAGAATGTCATCCTTCATTCCCTTTTAGAAGGCATGGCATATAAATCTATTGATCTTGATGATCCTAAGAGGAGATAGCAGGGGGGTGTACGTAATGGGTCTAGCAAGTTTCGATCCAGTTTACAGGATGAAAACTTACTCGACTCGGGCCTTATACATTTGTGTGAGTCTATGTGTGTGTTTGTTTCGTTTCCATGGTTTCTATTAAAATAAACAGTCATAATATATCGATACCTTTTTGCCAGACTAACGTAAGCGACATTTGTTCAAATGGCAAAAAGGTATCGATATACTCTATACTTTATAAAATAATTGTTACATTATTTTTTAAATATATTATGAATATATAACAACTGTGACTTTCTTTGTAATTTATCACAAAATGATACGAGGTACTTTCTAAACATAGCAAGTGTAGTTTGTTTTTCTGTACCTTACAAAAATATAATCTATAGAAAAAGAGTTTGGTGATTTATTTTTCCAAGTTTAAATATTTAATAATCAATAGAATTTTCAAGTTTCTTTTAGCGAAATTTACAAAGAAATAAAAACTATGTTCACTGCTTACATTAAACTGATTAAAACTTTCTTTATTAAAATGATTATTAATATGATAAAAATATGATAAAAAATTTGATGTTATTGGAAGCTTTTATATTTTTTAACATACAGTGAAACAATAGTTTTTGTTTTTCCTGTAAATTTGTATAGAAAAACTATTTATTTCTGAATCCATGTTTGAATTTCCCGCCCTAGAGCATTTTTAATTTTCCCGCTATTTACTAGTGGCGCCATCATAGACTGGTTGTGGTTAAAATCGTTAAAATCGTTAAAATCGTTAAAACAACTTTTGCCTAACAAAAAAATACATTGAGTTACACGTCTCGCTGGGTTGTCTCTGTTATTGGTCCCGTCCTGAGGAATCACCTTTTTGATCATAACTAATGTAAATAACTCGGGCGCGTAAATCAACGTTTGATGACTTTTCGTGTGTATATAATTTGTTGATTTGTGTACACGTTAGCGTGTACCTAGTCACAGCGTTTAAATTACATTATTACTATAAATATGTACCAATCATACATTTTTGTCGCAGATTGGTGAATTATTCTCCTACATTTAAAAAAATTCCTTCGACTAAATGAAAAGTATGAAACTGGACTGGTTTTCTTTTAGGTGTTTACGAAATAAAATCGATGGCATCACTAAAAACTCTTTTTAATCTTGAATCCCATATTATAACTTTAACATCACTGTACTTAACTACATTTGTATACTTATTAAAGTAAAATTAAGTAAGAAAATTAATAACAGCCTTGGAATTTAATTTTGATAAAAGTTCTAATAAGGTGTTGTTGGCTGTGGTGAGAGTTTCATTTTGCGGATGGCGCCAAGATCTAGCAAGGTGACTCTTCGCGTTGGTAGGATCAACCAACCATCTGCGAGCTAGTATTCACGTGATAGCGTCCATTAACAATTTATAGTGTGTACTTAACGATTCTATAAGTAAGTCTTCGATCACATTAAAGGCAGCTTGTGCAAGTAATTTGGTGGCACGCGCATGCGCAAGCTGGCGTGAACAGTAATATGCTCACACCATATACTTTGATTAATCAAAGTATGTGGCTCACACTAAATGCAAGCAGGTGCAAGTTAATTATTATAAACAGGTCAGTCAAAATGAAAACACTGTTCTTTATCCTATGATGGAGATGTCAGACGATGAGGACATTGTTTTGGAAAATGGTGTTTTAAAGTTTTTATTTTTGAATGAGCAGGAAATCATGGAAGAGTGGGTTTACGAGTATTTTTTAGACAGAGAGGAAGATGGAGAGTATGCACGAATATTTAACGAGCCCTATAATAAGCATCTTGCCTAGGCTGTGTAGCCTGTGTTGCTATTGTGCTCATTCTAGGTCCCCTTTTTTAAATTGTATTATGATATATAATATAATATAAACGGTAAGCATAAAAAAAAATAAACAAAAATTGGAATAATAATGAAGATGATGTATTGGGATTTGGCAGATACAGTGCCAGACTTATTGATGTTTTTTTTTTTTTTTTTTTTTTTTTTTTTAATTTGAATAGGACAATGAATCAGAATAAAAATTTACTATTGTGAGATAGAATATATTTCTTTACTTCGGTTTTAAATATATGTTCTTTAGCGATTTGTTTTATATTTATAGGTAGGAGGTTATAATATTTTGGGCCAAAATAAAAAATGATTATTGGGTAACTGATTTTTTAAAAAGGTTAACGGCTAGGTCCATATTGGCAGTAGAGCGAGTAACTCGAGAGTTTTTATATTGAAACTTTTTAGTACTGTTGTACATTTTTATAATACATTGATATATAAATAGCGATTTGATGTTAAAAATTTGTTTCATCATAAAGTTTTTTAGTTCGAAAAAGTTTAGGCTTATTAAAGATAATTTTTAGGATAGTATTTTGAGCTGTTTGTAATATATTAAGTGTAGAATTAAAAGCACCGCCCCATGCGATAATACAGTATCTTAGAATGGATTCCACAAATGAGTTGTATAGCATGATTAAACTTTTTCGTGATAGAATCTGCCGAAGCACGTAAAATTTATGCATTAGAGCTCTTATTCTTTTACTTAGGTGTATGATGTGATCAGACCAGCGCAAGTATTGGTCTACTATAACTCCTAAGTATTTTATTGCTTCTACTTTATCTAAAGGGGGGCATTTACAGTTTGGTTCACAAACTTGTGAATGTAATTTTAATGTAAAATTAGGTGGTTGGTTTACTATAGTTGGACTAAAAGCAATAAATTTTGTTTTTTTAATATTTAGAGTTAGAAGGATGGTGTTTAGCCACATGTTTACCTTTTTTAAGTCAGCTTCTGCGTTATGTTGAATTT